TATCTATCACAAACCCAATAAGTGGTTGTTATATGTTTTAGACTTTTAGTTGAACATGCAAAACTGTGCACGTCTTTTATTTTATTTTTGTTTTCTTGGAAAATCAAATGAAGAGAAAAAATCATTTACGTAGTTCAAATGCATTGTAATCCGAATGTATAGGTCAATGCATTGTAATCCGAATTTAATTTTCTGAAACCTAGTTCTATTGATCGACCATGTTAAAAATGTCTTGCTGATGGACTTTTGCTAGATACATTCTTTAACTTTACTGCTGCAAATTTATGTGCATGGTTATACAATATACATAGTTCAAAAAGAAAAAAATTATTACGAACACTTAATCGCTCCATTATTTAAAAAACAAAAAAATATTGTCAAAGAAAAAAATTAGAGTCGACGTAGATGTTTCATTTTTTCATTGTCGATTGCTGTGTTATCATGCAGATATAATACGTTTTTGATGCATTTTAACCTTTATTTTGTAGATTTTTATCGAGTCTTTTATTCTATATCGAGTCTTTTATTCTATATCTAGGTCTTAATCGCTCCATTATTTAAAAAACAAAAAAATATTTTCAAAGAAAAAAATTAGAGTCGACGTAGATGTTTCATTTCTTCATTGTCGATTGCTGTGCTATCATGCTGATATAATGCGTTTTTGACGTATTTTAACCCTTATTTTGTAGGTTTTTATCGAGTCTTTTATTCTATATTGAGTCTTTCTAGGTCTAAAAGTGGCTGGAATGGAGGATTGGAACTTGCAAGGAGGCTTGGCGAAAAATGAGAGAAATAAGATCTTTTCTTGAAGATTCTGAAGATAAGGACCACCCGATCAGCTGACCTGCTCCCCAGAAGATTCACTTTTGAAAATTTTCATTAAACCTAATTTTCGCCACCTAGAGTTGCCATAATCCATCCCAACCGCCAAAGCCCTTAAAAGGAGAGATATCTTGGAGATCAAGGGCGAGACACAGAGAGAGAAAATAACAGAGAGAACACGTGAGGAGAGAGATTTGATACATTGTTTTTGAGTTTTGGGATATTTGAATATTGTCTTCCATCA